ACTGATATATTGACATGCCCCCTGATCTTGCTGTAATTTGAGTCATTTATGAGTCTTTACTTAGCAGAGACTTAGAACCACGCTCACTTCAAGCCTGAATTATCTTTCTGCCTGAAGAGCAGGTGGCCAGTCAGTGCTCAGGTGGGGATTATTGCTGCTGACCGTGTTAGAAGGCTTGCTCTGCACCTGCCTCCTCCTTGTAACAAGCACACAGATAAAGAGAATCCGGTTCCCTGGCACTGCCAACCAACCCCGCCAATCTTTCAAAAACAAATACTCAACCTTGACTGTAAAATAAAATAGAAAATAAGAGTTACAACTACCTTCTATTGACTGTTGATTGACCTGAGCACTCTCCAACAGTGAACATAAAAGATTAGATATCACTTTCCATACAGGTGTTTAAGCAAATGATTTTTCTTCTTACCAGGAGGCTGAATTGTTCAAATTCTGGAAAATGTCTGTGTGCAGCTTTGTAACAGGGAAGTATTGCCTTATGCCTTCAAAGGTGGTGATTTACGATGTCTTGTGCAATCTTTCCAAAATCAAGAGTTTTGTTAAAGCTTAGCAGTATACACTAAAAGGAGATCTCTGACATTGTGCCTGTATTTACAGGGCAAATACAGGAACAGACTTCCTGTGAAATGAAATGAATTACTCAAAGTGAACTCACATAGGAAACAGACAGCACTCTCAATGGAAGAAAAGTCAGGTTCTTCTCCTTAAAGACTAGAACAAGTCAAGAGAAACTCCAACACATTTCAAGTTCCATGTGATAAAATGATTCTGAGGAGATAAGAGTGAAAATAGTTTCTGCTCAGAGGAAATGTATAGAGTTCATCAGAAGAAAACAGCATTGGCTCTCATGTGTAGTTTTGAAGCCCAAATTCAATAATGATCTTCCGTAAAAAGCTGTGAAAATAACAGCTAAATAAATTATAGGGAGAAGGAGTGTCCCTTTCTTGCAAGAAAAATTTCCTGAAGCATCAAAATTGTTCATCATGCTATAAAAAAATTTTAAAAGACCAATTTTCAACAAGCACAGGTCATTCCATTCAGTAAAGACTGTTCTATATTCTTCACATCTAAGTCCAACAGTGATTTCTGGCTCCTTTCTTTAATGGCTTGCTGTTCTTCAAAATACAGAGCTTCTCAATTTTCCCTTCTGTGCTATTGAAAGCAATTTTTTGCAAGATTTAGGGACAAAATTTATGTCCTGTAGTGATGAATCACCACTGAACAGATACTACTGCAGGTGAATTGCAATGCTAGATAAATTTTCCTGGAACAAAAAAGGATTTCTGAACTGGCACTGAAGAACTAATGGGAGGAAAAAAAAAGAACAAAAAGGTGGGCTCAGCTTCAGTTCTCAGCATCAAAGGGAAAGAAGATAGTTTCTTAATAAGTGGTAATCCTATAAAAGACTCATCTTTCCTGATATACATCAATAAAGAGGAAGAACAATTCTGTCCCTTTGCTTGTTGCTACAAGAAAGTGTTACTTCAGAGGCTAACTGTCCTAATTTGAAAGCCTTGATCATTGGACAGTTGAAAGAAATATGCTGTGTAGAGATTGCTACCTGGACAAAGACAACGTATTTTACTAATTGAGACAGTTTATTAGCAGAATGTTGCTGCTGTGATCTAGATCCTTGTGGCTACTTTACATCAAGAAGAAAGTTACCCTTTACTTCACCAATGTGTTCCTGTAGTGCTCATTGATAAAGAGCAGCTAATGAAGAGACAATTGTGCTTTTGTTGTTGTTGTTTCAGGGCACAGCCTTGCAATGGTCAGTGTGCACTGGGAAGCTATTAAATGCATAGTGATGAACACAAGAATAAGTCCATACTGCCTGTTGAGGATCTCAACAAGGTTGTACTTGGGGCCTGCCAGATCTGCGTGGATAGATGAGAGATGGGTCTGGGTCAGGTGTGAGCTATGAAGAGCTAGTCCTAGGGCTCCTGCCTGTGCCTGGCTCTTTGCTGCTTCCATGCATGTATGCAGGGTTGAGGTGAGTGGGTGCACACACTGCCGTCACGGCTGGTATGGCAAACAATTTGCAGTATAAAGACAGTAATGTGATCTAGTCCTTTTTTTCAGTTTTGTTTCAGACAGCTCTATCTAAAATTACATTTCCTCTCTTTCATGCAGTCACTTTCTATCTTAATTTGGGGAAAAAATTTCCTACTTCTTCATTGGATTTTTTCCTGAAAGGATTAATCTTTTTCTCAGTTATTTTGAAAATATTTTTGTATGATTTTTCTTTCCGTGGCCAGTTTCAAAGCTAATGTTTTGGGCTGGGAGATGATCATTTAAGACTCGACACCTCTTGGTTTCAACATTCCTCTTCTAGCAAGTTCTACAAATCACAACCACTCATCCACCCTGAAGAGGAAAACATTGAAGTCTTTTCTAGAGTTCACTGCAGGATGAGTATTCATCAAAACAGAAATGTGTTTATTATTATCTGTTTTAGCAAAACAAACATCTTAGTTGTTACATGAGGACCAGGTTTCCCTTTGGTCCATCCTAATGTGGTACTGAGTTTTTCTCTGTACATAATACCTGTAGGCCCCTGTTAGCACCAGTCTGTATTTTTGTGATTTGTTTTAATTGCCAGTGATTTATCTAAGTAGGAATAGGTTGGCTGGAATTGCTTATGACATTTTCCACACTTCAGGCTGTAATATTTGGGATGATTGCTCCCAGCTGGGATCACACATCTGAACCTGGAGGATCAAACTGTAACTCAGTGTTCTATGTGTTGGGCAGCTATGAGGTCTGCTTTGTTTTTTGGATACATCTCACACTGTATTACTAGCCAGATCTTCACTAGAGTGAGTTTGTTCACACACATCTCCATTGGCTGTGGGAGATGTGTGTTCAGCTCTTCCCTCCAGCAATGCAGGATTGAGATCTGCCTTTTCAGTTTCTCACGTTTCTGCCAACCATCATAACCTTAGACTAGTCCAAGGTGGCTCTGCACCAGTGGACAGAGGATGCAGTCCCAATTGCACTGTACACCCATGTGCTGCAGCAGAGAGGAGGAGATAAGCTACTTAAGGGATTGGGCTCCTGCAAACTTGCTTTCTCTCTGGGCCAAGGCCAGCTTCGGCTTTCCAAGCTCTCACTACATCCCTTGTTGTCCAGCTCAGTGCTGCCTTCATTCAGACCCTGTGGCAATGTCATGAATTAGACCCAAAGGATAGGTGATAGTCGCAAGCCTCAAAACAAAAATGTATTTAAAAAGTCAGTGCCTATCCTTAGGTATTATGTTTGTTATGTAGGACTATTTCAGAGAAATCTAAACAGCTTCAGTCAGTACTAAGTGATAGGAGCAAATAAAGTGTCTTTTTCTGCTTCAAACTATCTCAAACAACAAATGAAAAGCAAGAAAGGGGAGGAACAGTGGAGAGTCTTATCATCTGCATGCTTGGCTAAGCCTCAGACAGGGTGAGAGAGATCAGGGCGGCATTGTCAGGGAGTTCACCCTTTTCACTCAGGGAGTGAAAAGACACCCTGTTGGCTCTGAACTTGCTAGTCCAGTCCTGTGTGTGTGCTGACAGAGTTCCGAGCCCAAGCAAATATGCCTGGCCGAGAGGAAAAGCCTGTGTGTGTGTCAGGCTGATAAAACTGCTGATCCTGATGCAAGCGCATCTGCATGGCAAAGTGCTCCTCCATACAGGTGGACAGCCCCTATGGGTCCATGCTCCCTTGGGCTAGGTCCTGTTTCAGACTGGCTGGGAGAATGGGCAGTATGTTATACAAAACTTCTTTTCTCCCACCTTGTGTCTGTTTAAAATGTTAGATCTATAAAGAATTTTTTGTCCTGGCATATCTATGTTTATTTCCCATAAGAATTACTAATTAAAGTGTTTCTGGAGATGTTTATGGGTGGAAAAATGACATAGAGCATCACAAAGTGTCACATGGACTTTGGAAAAGTTCATGCACAGTACACCCACAGAGGCCCCACATACCATTTCTCTTAGCTATCTTGCAAAATTCTCAGAGGACTGACCAGACGTAACATCTCAGAATCACAGCATAGCTCTACATTCATGCCTGCAGCCATTGTCCTACACAGCTCAGGTACTGGCCAACTGAGTTCTGCAGCACAGAATCCAAAAATCTGTTGCTTCTGGTGCAGGAAAGGTGCTATTGAGACAGAAGAGCGTGTCAGTATAGTTAATCAATAACCATATTGACTAAGCAAGCTTTTGATGTAGGAGATATTAGATTAAATTTTGTGGCTGAAATCTGTGAACCTTGCCCTTCCTTTAGACCTGTGTAGAGTTAGTCTAGCATACAACCAGTCACTTTCAATGTGTTGATGCCTTGCAGGTGTGTCTACCAGCTGTGGAGCTGTGTCATCCTTCTTGTGAATTTGCCTTTCTAGCCATCTTATCAACTCTCGCTTGAAACAGCTTCTTCCATGACCAAGAATTGAGCACTGCAACTTGGTGAACTTCATCTATCATGTCCAGACAACACGGAGTGCTTTTCCATTCCATCAAGAATCACAACTGCATACACCTGGCAGTCAAGGTTATAGTATCATATCAGCCAGGCCATTACTTCCACAATCTTCACTGGCAAAGGAGGCCGCTATTCTGTAGCTTCATGCTGGGGCACATTGGGACGCAATTTATATAGCTTGTTAGGCCTTGCTGAACACCACAAACTGGACATAAGATGGCATTATAAGTACTGGGTGAATGCTCATGTCTTTGCTGTCTGTTGGAACAGTGTTAAAATAAAACTCCTTTTGACACGCTTGGATATATAAGCATGGTTTCCAGGTAGGAAAGCGTTCTGAAGTTTTTAAGCCAGGTGATTTTAAAAATCCTCCCTTTGAAACAAAAGGAACTCGGCACGGATTTTGGCTGATGCATCTGCGAGGCAAAGGGGAATATATCAGCATGACTTTGTCTCTGGCTCCTGGGGATGGTTCCGCGCGTGGGAAACGCGGCTGCGAGAGCACCGGCCAAGGCGCGGTAATGCGGGCGCTGTCCGTGGTGCTGCCCCTACGGCCGTGCGGGTCGGGCCTGGGTGGGTGTGGGGTAGGGATGCCACCGTGGGTTGTGCAGGGCTTTGTGCATGTGGACGCGAATCTGCTCAAGAACATGCATGCTCACTCAGAAAGGTGGGTAAGTTACAGATTTTTCCAATTAATAGGCATTTTGATGACACTTAAAGTCCGTAATTCCTTATCAGCAAATTAATGTCTTCATCACACTCAAAAGCATATTTTGCTGTGACAGAGTAACTAAAATTGCAAACAGCACGAAACATGGCAACACCTTTGTTTATCGCAATAGCATCCCTCTGAAAAAGTGAAAACATCTAGTTCTACTATTCATGTTTAAAATTTGTAACATTTTTGTATCTTGTCATCATAAACACAAGCAGAACTCTCATTTCAAATTTGGAAGTTTCTTACAGGTCTGCAGTTTTTGAACCTGCCACAAGGCTGAGAAGCCAGTGTGATCTTCAAGAAACCATACAAGTTACAATTGCCTTTATATACATCTATTCCCATGGTTAGAAATGCTACACAGAACATTAATGTGGAAGACTATTTTAACATAAATTGAAATATTTTAGACACCTTCCAGAGATTCTGGTGAACACTTTTTTCTCTGCTTGATTGTGGCAGAAAACAGAACTTGGCCCATTAGTCATTATGGTCATTATGGTATTTCAGTCAGATAATAGAAATGCTGCTAGTTTAACATCTTGTTGAGGAAAACAACAATGACAGCTTCCACAAACTCACATTTTATTATTTGCTGCCAAGTTTTATTCATTCCTGTGAGTGCAGGTACAGACACTTGCGTCATCGGCAACCTAGGCATGGGACTATGTTTTTACTCTGTTTCTGGGATTTCAGAGAAACAATCCAGCAAGGGGAACTTAGCAAAGGCGTTCAGCAAAATCCATCCCATAACTGATGAGGTGTGTCCTGTTGCTGCACTCCATCCCCGGGTAGCATTTCTTCTGTTGTTCACCATTTAGAATCTGAATTGGACAGATGTGGCCTGCTCCCTGGTGTGTGCTGCTGATGGCAGGCACCTCTCGATACCCATGGTGCTGCTCTGTTGTGACCAGCTAACTTGGGAATAATAAACTTTATCACAAGAACCGTTTCACTGACTGCAGAATATTCCCCCCACCTGGTATGAAACTGCTATTTTTGGTCTTAAATTCCATCACTCCTTGAGGTGATGGGAGGGTTCTTCATGGATAACTCATATTTCATTACATTCATTTACAAGATCACAGAGTTACCCAAATGTAATCATGGCTAAGTCACAGTGCGGAGCCATAACCCTTCTGCTGTGCCTCCCATTGTGTTTTGATGGTGTGCTGCGAGATACCAATCCATTTCAGAGGATTCCAATGCAGAGAACATGAAAGGACTGTTTTGGTTTGCAGGATGTCAACAGCAGCTGTTCCAGCTCTGGAGCACCATGGAGGCAGCTGTTGGTGGGCTTTGCTCTCACTGAGGACCTGGGGATGCTGTTCTCATTGCCTTGCTATGCTCTTGGTTTGAACCCTTCAATGTCTGTTTGCTGACCTTTGTGTACTTATCATCCTCTTATCTCAGTGAAAGGGACAAGTAGTTCTTGCCCCTTTGTTTCAGAAAATGCTTCATTGTCTACACAGTTTTCTAACTCAAAATAGATAAGGAAATCATTTCATCATTATTTGTTAGTTTGGCTTGTTGTTAATAGGGATCTAGGGCAGCTGCATGCAGCTCTCAGATTCCTTAGAAAACTTTGGGCCTTAAATACTGAAGTAATGTCTCAGACAGAGCAGAGAATGAGGATGCACTTTGCTCTCTCTGACTGGTGAGATTAACAAGTGAATGTATAATGTGTTGCCTAATGACAAGAAAATATATCCAGTGATCAATTATCCTTCAGTTTCATCACTTTGCTAATAGGTCATATTGAATTTATGGCACCATCGGATGATATATATGACCAAAACTGGAGATTTGATCTCTCAGGGAATGGGACCCAAGCCTACATCCAGGCTTTCAAGAGCAGAGGTGTCAGAGGGGAGGTTTAACTCTACTGTCCTCCTTAGCAGATTCATGCTGCTAGTCCGGAAGTAAATATAAAGTGTGAGGGGTATTATACACCACTAAGAAAAATCTAATTTGCAGCGTTTCTTTGCCAGAATGACTTGCAGTCTAGTACTTTTTCCTATACCACCCTTACAACGCAAAATGGGTGATTATCCCTACTTTGCAGGTGAAATCTGAAAATACAATGAGGCAAAGTGTAAGGCCAAATGATGAGCCGAGGACACAGCAACTTGGCTTTTACAGCTTTCCTGTCACTGTATCACATCTCTGTACATGCAGGAAAGGTGCCCAGCTTCACCTGTACCCATTTTAGAAGCAGCTTTCATCAAAGGTTGATGATCAGGATATGGGAGGTGAATAGCACTTTCCACAGAAGTATCTTTGTCGAGATAAATACCTCTCTGTGAATCAGACTGACAGCAGGAAAGCAGCTGAAGATACGGTCTGGAGCCTCAGCCCTGCAGGACTGTTACAAATATTACTGTCCCGACCTAATGAGCTACCACTGATCCTAAACAATGTCTGGGACAAAAGACTAGAGGGGGATTGGCTGCCCTTACCCTGCTGCCAGCTTCTGACAACCCATTAAGGTTATAGCTATTCAGGCCTGTTCAGACAGCCCCTTTTTTTGTCTATTTTTTTTCCTTCTTCCTAATAACTCCCAGCTAATGAGCAGACAGTGTTATTTTTTATTTTGCACAAGGAATGTGAAGATAAATAGGAGTATGTGCAGGCTCTGGAAATGAAGTGAGGTGGCTGTGAAGCCCTCCTTGCAGAGATGTGAGGTGCATCGTTGTGGCCGAGGGAGCGCAGCCCTGCCCTCTGCTTCCCCAGCTTTACAGAAATGAGCAGGGGAGAGGAGACCACGCCAAGACACAGCTTGGCATGTGCCTTGGGCTGCCGGCGCGCCTCGGCCGCTGCCCTCGCCGTGTGCCTCCCTCCATCCTACCGCCAGCATCGCAGAAGGCTCCCGTCTCCAGCACTGTGCCCCACTTCACTCATGCTTTACTAAGTGATTGGAGTTGCCCTCTTCCTTTTGCGCCTTCCCACCTCCTTCAAGCTCCCTCTTCAGCGACAAGCAGCATCACTAATTGCTTTTTAGGGTCTCTTTTCTGCTCTCTGTTCAAAATTCACGAGGCATTCCCTGGCCCCATTATGCTCCTTTCTGAACCTTTTCAGCCTCTTTTACAAACTTAGCACTTTCTGTGCTTCTCTTAGCCTATGCAAAAACAAAACCCACAAAACTTTGGATTTTTTTTTTTTTTTTGGCAAGAAGGCCTCCACCCTCCCTCCACACCCCCCTCCCCACCAGAAAAGCACACGCATGGGCCCGCCTCCCATTGAATGGGGGGCTTTGTGCGGGGAATTTCCGGAACACAGCCCAGGGCTGGAGGCGCAGTGTGAGTGGAGGGGCTTTGGGCAAGGAGCCTCCCTTAAGCCCACCCCATTACCACGGTCACTGTTTGCCCTGGGCTCTCTAAAAGGACTATTGTTGCCTGTTGCCAGGTATTCCCTAGCAACACTTAAGCCAAGCTGCCTCCTCTATTTATGGCAGAAACTTTTCAATGGTCTCCAAAACACGTGCTTGTCAACTCAGGAGAATACCTTCAAACAGACACAGAAGGGAAAAAATAATCCCAAGCGCTTGCTTTGGTTGAAATATGTGTGTTGGGGGTGTTTTTCGATTTCTTGTCATTTACCTTGGATCAGAAACCCAAGCAATTACAATTTGAAAAAAAATCCCTCCCCATTACCCCCTCCCAGCCCCAGTCCCCTGCACTGCCCAGCCTTCCTGCTAGCAGGTGGGTTGAGGGACTGTTATTGGATGGAGTAGCTTTTGATACATTTGGAAACTTTTTGCACAAAAGATTCCTTCGCTGTTTTAAGACAGATTTTGATTTCTTTGTGTGTATCAGAGCCCTTACGAGAGCTACAGCGCTTGCTGTGTTGGCTGCTGGTGAATGGCCTTCTACCAAGGGGAGTGTAGGGTCAGAGAGAGGGGCAATTGTGAGTCTTTACAGCATGGGTGTAGCACCACTGAAATAGAACACCAATCAGTTGAGATAATCACTTGAAGTGGATGTGAAGTTTGAAGGCATATCCATGCATTTATTCAGGAAGGACATATTTTCTTGCTTGCCTTTCTGGAGTCAGTTTGTCAGCTATAGACAGTCAGCAATTCAGTCAAGTTCAAGGAAGAAAACAGGTTGCTGCATCTCCAAAGGCTGCATTCATATTTTGGTGATTGAGTGTAATGAAGTGACAGAAGAGCTCTTCAGGGCAACTCACTCTTGGTAGAAACAGTCTTTACTGTTTGTGCAGATATCACATCGAGAACTTTAGCATAGGCTGGTGTTGTTGTCAACTACATTTTACTACCTTTTTACATATCACAGTCACCAGTGGGGAAAATCTTAACAGATACCAGAAAAACTGAAGGTATGCACAGGATTTATGAAGGCAGTTGAAGCAGCATGGTACCCAACTAGCAGTGAATTTTGATAGAAAGTGAGTGTCTCTCAGCTGCCCATTCATTTACTCATGCTGGCACTGGATGTAGTTCTGCTATCATGAAGGATAACACACTGCTGCAGCATTAGCACCCTGTCCAGAGTAGCCTGTAGTCTTCCCATCTGCAAATTTATACTAGTTTTTCAGACACATCCTTTAAAGCTTCAGTACATCAGCATGACATTCTGGTTTTCAAAGCAATTGATTCTAAGTTACTATTGTCTCATTTTTGATGGACTTCTTCTGTCCACTGTAGCTAGTTCCTACACTTTCTTTACATGTTAGATTTTTTTACTCATTCCCTGCATCCCTCTTGATTGTCAGTCCCTCATTCATTGAGTTTTGTTCTTGTTTCCATCCCATCAGTCTCTCTTCTCACCTATTTTTTTCCCCACTCTCTCTTCACTATTTCTGACATTATTTCATCCCTGAGTAATTTCTCCTTTAAAACACTTAGCTTCTTTCCTTTTTGATTGGCTTTCCAGTCCATCAAGTTTGCCATTTTGTTATTATGAGTCTTTTCTGTCTCCCATCCACATTTCG